AATTTTTTCTAACTTTACTCTTCCTTGGTTAGTTTTCAGAAATCCCATGGGGGGAATATATCAGGGAGTCTCCTGGAACTTCCAGGAGACTCCCTGATATATCCTGGATTTTAGACTATGCGAGGTGGTGTTTTTTTGATGCCAGTGAGAGCGTGCAGGCAGTATAATAATTCATGCTTCATGTGTGGATTAGAACTACTTCGACTCACAGACAACAAGAGAGAGCGGGGTGTGAGGTGGAGGTTGCTGGTGAAACCTGTGCAGCGTATCTGTCCAAAGCGATGCTCTGATCAACCAGCGTTCCAGGAAACTGGTTGATCAGAGAGCTGATTGGATCAGTCCCATAAGTTTCTCTGGTTCCTCTCTGGCAGTCACCTAGTTACCACTCAAAGCTGTGCATCCTGGGAAACATCAGAGGTTGAATCCTCAAGTAAAAAATAAAAAAAATAGGAATAATTTTACAGCAGAATATACTAAAATATATTCCCATCTAGTGAAGGTGAGGAACAGTGGCAGATCTAGACCAAGTAGAACTAGAACTCAAGAAAAACTGTTAAATTCATCAGTAAAAATTAGAGCATTTTTTTATTTGTTGTAAAAAAAAATTTAGCAGATGAAAACTGGGATCCTATCTCAGTACCACTGAAGCTATCACCTTATTGTTTTTGAATAATTAGTGAAACAGAATTTGTAAATGTAGCACTATTTAAATTGTAAAAGGACTAGATGGAAGAAAATCAGAAGACTAGAATTCGTCTACTGGAGCCGTTGTCAGTAATCAATAAAACAACACAAAATAACTGCTTTCAATACCATGTATTAGACAAATTTAAAGTAAACAATACAAGACAAACATATATAGAACCCAAAATAAATACAAAAAAATATATATACACAGTACTGTGGCAATCCTTCTTTTGTTTGTGCACAACTGGTCTTAAATTCCCCACAATCAGTCCAGAGTCTGAGCCGACACACATTCAGAAATCCATGGTTGGATTATCCAGATATTTAAGTTGAAGAATGTCCCAGCGCAAGTTGTTTTGGATGAAGAGGTGAATAATGAAGTGTATGCCTGAGTGGTGAGATGGAGGGGGGAAATGATACAGACCAGTCCACTGTGGAGTGATTCTTAAGGCTCTCCTGGCTCCAGCCAGTTTTCAGAAGCTCGCCATCTTTTTCCCTAAAAAGGGA